TCTGTGAGTGTCTGTGTGTGAGTGTCTGTGTGTGTGTGTGCGTGTCTAGGTGTGTGTGTATGTCTGTGTGTGTGTGTGTCTGTGTGTGTGTGTGTCTGTGTGTGTGCGTGTGTGTCTGTGTGTCTGTGTGTGTGTGTGTCTGTGTGTCTGTGTGTGTGTGTAGGTAGACATGTCCAAGTACCCTGTCTAAGTGCAGCAGACCGCTCGTGTCCAGGCTGAGGTGAGCTTTCACTCCCTTTGGCTCAGCAGAGCGGTGACGAGATACTGCTTCGGCTACTCCCTTCACTTGGACATCGCAGATAGACACTCCCCCTAGTAGCCTGCACAGACACACACACAGAGATAGACACACAGATAGACACACAGATAGACACTCTCCCTAGTAGCCTGCACAGACACACACACATAGATAGACACACAGATAGACACACAGATAGACACTCCCCCTAGTAGCCTGCACAGACACACACACACAGATAGACACACAGATAGACACACAGATAGACACTCCCCCTAGTAGCCTGCACAGACACACACACAGATAGACACACACACAGATAGACACACACACAGATAGACACTCCCCCTAGTAGCCTGCACAGACACACACACAGATAGACACAGATAGACACACAGATAGACACACACACACAGACACACAGATAGACACTCCCCCTAGTAGCCTGCACAGACACACACACAGATAGACACACAGATAGACACTCCCCCTAGTAGCCTGCACAGACACACACACAGATAGACACACAGACACAAACACAGATAGACACACAGATAGACACACAGATAGACACTCCCCCTAGTAGCCTGCACAGACACACACACACACAGATAGACACACACACAGATAGACACTCCCCCTAGTAGCCTGCACAGACACACACACAGATAGACACACAGATAGACACACAGATAGACACACAGATAGACACACCCCCTAGTAGCCTGCACAGATACACACACAGATAAGACACACACACAGATAGACACACACACAGATAGACACTCCCCCTAGTAGCCTGCACAGACACACACACACATAGACACACACACACAGATCGACACACACACAGATAGACACTCCCCCTAGTAGCCTGCACAGACACACACACAGATAGACACACACAGATAGACACTCCCCCTAGTAGCCTGCACAGACACACACAGATAGACACACAGATAGACACACAGATAGACACACAGATAGACACTCCCCCTAGTAGCCTGCACAGACACAAACACACAGATAGACATACACAGATAGACACACACACAGATAGACACTCCCCCTAGTAGCCTGCACAGACACACACACACACAGATAGACACACACAGATAGACACTCCCCCTAGTAGCCTGCACAGACACACAGTGACACACATATAGACACACACAGTGACACACAGATAGACACACACAGATAGACACACACACAGATCGACACAAACACAGATAGACACTCCCCTAGTAGCCTGCACATAGACACACACACAGAGATAGACACACACACACAGATGTCTGTGTGTGTGTGTGTCTCTGTGTGTCTCTGTGTGTGTGTCTGTGTGTGTCTCTATGTGTCTCTGTGTGTCTGTGTGTCTCTGTGTATCTATGTGTGTCTCTGTGTGTGTGTCTGTGTGTCTCTGTGTGTCTGTGTGTCTCTGTGTATCTATGTGTGTCTCTGTGTGTGTGTCTGTGTGTGTCTCTGTGTGTCTCTGTGTGTCTGTGTGTCTCTGTGTATCTATGTGTGTCTCTGTGTGTGTGTCTGTGTGTGTCTCTGTGTGTCTCTGTGTGTCTGTGTGTCTCTGTGTATCTATGTGTGTCTCTGTGTGTGTCTGTGGGTGTCTGTCCGTCTCTGTCTCTGTGTGTCTCTGTGTGTCTCTGTCTGTGTCTCTGTCTGTGTCTCTGTGTGTGTCTCTGTGTGTCTGTCTGTGTCTCTGTGTGTCTATCTGTGTCTCTCTGTGTGTGTCTCTGTGTGTCTCTCTGTCCCTGTCTGTGTCTGTGTGTCTCTGTGTCTCTCTGTGTCTCTCTGTGTCTCTGTGTGTCTCTTTGTCTGTGTCCCTGTCTGTGTCTCTGTGTGTGTCTCTGTGTGTGTCTCTGTATGTGTCTCTGTGTGTGTCTCTGTGTGTGTCTCTGTGTGTGTCTCTGTGTGTGTCTCTGTGTGTGCTTCTGTGTGTGCCTCTGTGTGTGTCTCTGTGTGTGTCTCTGTGTGTGTCTCTGTGTGTGTCTCTGTATGTGTCTCTGTCTGTCTCTCTGTGTGTGTCTCTGTGTGTGTGTGTCTCTCTGTCCCTGTCTGTGTCTGTGTCTCTGTGTGTCTCTGTGTGTCTCTGTGTGTGTCTGTGTGTCTGTCTGTCTGTGTCTCTGTGTGTGTCTCTGTGTGTGTCTCTGTGTGTGTCTCTGTGTGTGTCTCTGTGTGTCTCTCTGTGTGTCTCTCTGTGTGTCTCTCTGTCCCCGTCTCTGTCTCTGTGTGTCTCTGTCTGTGTCT